TGGCGGGGGGGCCGCTTACGCGGGTGGGTTCCGCGGGTGCTACTACCCCTGCAGGGGGGGGGAGCGCCGTGGCGGCAGGGACATCAGCGCAGCAAGCGGTGCCGGCTGCGGGCGCCTCGGCGGCAACAGCGGCGGGGGCGGGGGCGGGGGCAGGTGGGGGGGCGGCGAACGCTGCGGGGAGGGTTGCTGTGGCGAAGTACGAGTACGTGGCGCAGGGGCCGGAGCAGCTGAGCTTCCGAGTCGGGGACATCGTCCAGCTTCATACGGAGAAGGTACGCATGCAGTCGAAGTTTTATTTTTATTTTTTTTGGAACGCTTTGGTCGAGTTTGTGTGGTTTGCTCGCTTTCGTCTTGCCTGCGTTTTTGAAGCTCGCTCCCGCCCTGCTGAAGGGCGTCGTCCGTCGAAGCTTCTGTCTGCGGTCTGTGGTGCTATCCGCCTGCCTGGCCTTGATTCCGCTTTGCTCTCATCGACCGCTGCACGCTGCGCAGATCAACGCTAAGGGGTGGGGGCTAGGTCAGGCCAATGGAAAGGTGGGGTGGTTCCCGGGAGACTTCGTGGAAATGCGCCCCACACCATCGGAGCGCAAGAGCAGGTACGGTCGTCTCTTCTCTTCCCCCGTTTTACGGACAGCAGTCGGTCCCCGCTTGTACTGTAGGACGGCGGCACAAATGTTGTCAGCAACACGGTGCCCCGCAAAATGTAAAATCGATGTAGAGTACTGCTGTACGGGGGTCCGATGGCAAGAGGAGGTGCGGACGGTGGTCTCGTTGTACTTCTGCCGCACCTCACAAAACGCAGATTTTCCCTTACTTCGTCAGTAAATATTCGCTCAAGGACACCAACATTAACGAACATTAAGAGCCTCCCCGTCCGTTTTAAGGACACGAACGCTTTTTTCAGCAAAACGGTGCCCCGCAGAATGTGAAGTCGATAGAATAGTTGGGCATCGGTTTGCAGGACACTTGTCCGCTTTTAGGACACTACTTTCGAAGAAAAATGCGAGCGTCCTTGCAGCGGGGACGACTGCTGCTGCGTGAGATTAAGCTTGACCGTTGGAACGTAGCCCCCCTTGGCTCAGTGGAGAGTCATTTTTACTGGTGCTTATTCTACCGCACGTGCGGTGTTTTTTGTTTTGATGTTTTCATTCGAAGTGCGTGGGGCCCTCTTTTGGGTACGTGGTTGGCATGTTTGTGGCCGCGGAGTGTCCGCACCGGAACGGGCGTCAGAAGGTACCGAGCAGAGGCAGAATGTCATGTTTTCCTTCGGGGACAACGTTGCATCGCTTGTTTCAGCAAATCACAGCAAACCTGCGCGTTTTTTTTCGGTTGTCTGGTACGATGCCTGTTGGACAGGTCCTCTAGCTCGAAGACGTCGGGGGCTTCGCGGAATCGAAGACAACATCCTCATCCCACCCCCGCAGCGGCGACCGGCGGGGGTGGCGGCGGCGGCGGAGCGGCGAGCTCGGCGGCTCCCCAGGGGGCGGGTGGGGCGAGCAAGGGCCCGCCACCCCCACCATACCCTGGCCGAAATCAGGTGCCGTGCTTGCTTGGTGTTTAGATGGCGGTAGCAGCCGTCAGGTTCGACTTTGTTGTGCAATCACTTTGTTGTTGTTGTTGTTGTTGTTGTTGTCGGTGGTGGTGGTGGTGGTGGTGGTGTGCGGGCTTCAGGTACACAGATGTGCCCGTTGCAACCGTCCGAGGGTGGCCATCCTCTCGAGTGAAGGGGGCTATTTTCGTGCAAGTGTATTCGTGTGTTTTGGCGAGGGAACCTTAATGGTGGAGGATGCATGGGCCTATTGCTATTGCTATTGTATCTATGCCAGTTTCAACCCTTGATGAAGAAGCAATACCAATCATGATAACCTACGCACTGCGCGTCAAGCAACAATGACAACAACGGTCACGACACCAACAGCATTAGCAAATCTAAACGTCAAACAACCTTGACAACAACGATCACGGCAAAAGCAACAGCAACGATGACAAAGCTGAAACGTCAAACAACAACAACAACAACAACAGCATCGATGGCAAGGCTGAAACGTCAAACAATAACAACAACAACGGATACGGCAACGTTATTACAGCGCGCGTCGAGAGGCCAAAGCGGCGGCACCGGTGCCGGAGGCGGAGGAGGAGGGGAAAGAAGACGCAGCTCAGCGACTTCGCAGACGGCGACGGCAGCAGCGGCGGGGGCGGGGGCGGGGGCGGGCGCGAATAAGATTAACCCCGAGCTGTACGAGACCTCCAACGCGTGGGGCACAGCGAGGGAGAAGGAGAGGGAGGAGGGTATCGGCGGCAGGGAGCCGGAGCAGCTGCCGGAGCACGTGTTTGCGATCCAGATGGCCAAGAACCAGCCGTGGCGGGATCGTCTGACGGTGGGTTGGCTTCTTCTTTCTTGCCTGCTCTTTTTTGTGCCATTTTTTTTTTTTTGCTAGGACGAATTCATATCTATCCACAGATGACAATGCGGGATATTGATGTAATATTTTCATTATTTTCTCACCATCATCGTCTGTGTGTGTTTGGCCCCTATCGGATTACCACTTGTTGGTTCTTGCACGTGCACTTTTTTTCGTGCTCCGTTTTCTCGACCTTTTTCTCGTACTGGAAATTGCTTCTCCTCACGGTGGTTGAGCGTGTGTATGTTTTTTTTTTTTTCCGTTCGATTAACAAAAATTTTCAATACAGCCCGGGGGCAAGATTGCGCACGACGACCTGCTAGCGTTCTTCAAGGCCTCCCGCATGGTGCTAGACTTCGACGAGATTGAGCTCAAGTCGGTCATCGGCAGCGGAGCCTTCGCCACGGTGTTCAGGGGGATCTACCGGTACCGGATCGGCCGGCCGGGCGAGGCGGGGGGGGACAAGAAGATTGTAAGTTCGTTCGTGCGTTCGTTGGTCCTATAGCGGCTGTGCTCGTTCGCTTTGTGCGTGTGTATCGCTTTTGTGTATCTCGTGCAAGTCTTTCTTTCTCAAGATGGAGAAACCACGCGCCTTTTTTAATCAGATAGAGAAACTCGTCTTCCATAAGATAGAAAACCTTTCTTGGTGGAGAAACTACACCTCTTTCTCAAGATGGAGAAACGCGTATGCATTGTAGCCCTGTTTGCCGGTATATCGCGGTAGTCCGCTGATCAAGGGACGGACGTCGTTGCCCACGCGTGCAAAATCAGAAGTGATACATATGCGATCTATGTACTAATATAGTGCAAGGCACCCCCGGAGTGGGCTCATCAGAGCAGAGTAGTGGGGGTAGGAAGGCGTCATGTAACATGAAAGTGTAAAGCATGTGTTGTGTTGGTGTGAATCAGCTGTTTACCAGCTGCCATCAGTATCGTTTCCCAAGCTCGAAAAGCTCTCACAGCTGGCGTGTTTGTGACGTACAGAGCCCAGCGAACCGCAACGAGAACCAAAAAGAAAGATTACAAATCTGTATCCAGTCTTCTCTGCGGGCGGGGGGGGTGAGCAGTGTCTGATGGACGTCGTCGTCTTGTTCAAGGAAGAGCTCTGTGGCCTCTCGGCAGGTTGTACATCGTACGATTTGATCTTCAATTCGGGATACGTTTGTTTCGTTAAGTCTGCAGTCAGAAATGTGTGTTGATGTGCTTCGTAGCACGGCCTAGCCTCTTTCTTCTTCGACGAAACGTGATTTTGATATTCCGATGTCCCCCCTCCCTCACTTACCCCTTCCGCAGGAGGTGGCGGTGAAGAAGCTCGTTGGGGGAGGCGGGGGTCCGATGGAGAAGACTCTCAAGGACTTCAAGACGGAGTGCGTCCTTCTGTCCCGGCTCAAGCACCGCAACATCATCGCCCTCGTTGGCGCCACCACCCACCCGGTCACCTGCGTGATGCAGTACTGCAGCCGAGGGAACCTGATGGTCCTTCTCGACGACCGAAGGTAGGTTGGTCGGTGTCGTTTTTTTTGGGTGTAGTAGATGCGCTGCACGGCCGCAAGTTGTGAGACCGTTGTAGACCCTTGCTGTACCGGGGGCGGCCGCCGGGTCGGGTAAGAGGCAACAAGGCTGGTGTTGCACCGACCTGTGGTGGCCGCTTGTCGTGTCAGCGGGGGAGGAGAGTGTGCTGGTTCACATGCCTCGGAGCTTGTGCCACGGGCCCCCCACTAAAGTGGCGTACCTGGTATGCCCTCACGTACAAAATCACCCCCCTCGTACTCAATC